ACATTCTGGTGTTGTCTCTTTACATGTCTCCACTCTATGAGAGTTCCTCTAAGATTGGAGCAAGGCAGTAGATATTTCTGAATAGTTTTTATTCATCTTTGTGCTTCTGTATTCCTATGTCCTGGCACACTGTACAACAAAGAGATCAAGAGATGCATAAATGCTCACTAAGTGGATTTGAGGTGTTTTTTTTTTTTTTAAATTACATCTTTTGAATGATTTTTGAAGGATAAATTCCAATTGCTAGGGCACAAGAGTTAAGCTACAGGTTTGAACACCACATTCTAGCTGTGTAAATTTGAGTAACTTCCTTCTCTTGTCTCTCTGTTTATTCATCAGTAAAACTGAAAATTTTTATCTACTATATAGGGGGGTTATATGCCCCAAACACCTACCACAGTACCTGGGTGAGTTAACTTTTATTATTGATCAACACATACAATCTTTAAAATTGCTCTTGATACCACTGCCAAATTAAAAACAAAGCTCCTGCTGATGATTTCTGGTGTAGTCAATGGGTCACTTCATCTCCTTTACTTTGACATAATTTGACCCCTTTATATGATATACTGCATGTCAGTAACAGTCAACCTCTTTTTGGCATCAAAGCTTACCTAGGGAGGAGGAAATTTCTGCTGCTGCTTCAGAGCTTTTAAAGATGCCCTGTTTTTCGATTCTCCCTTCTACTCAGCCCTGAAATTGCCTCCTTGAATTTTTCTAAAAGTGCCTGTTTAGCTTCAAGTTATTGACAAAGGGTGCCTCTGTAAGTTTCAGTTGTTAACTCATAATCAAATTGAGCAATTTTACAATGCTACTTTTCTTTTGGTTTTTCTGAGGTCTTACTTTAAGTGCTTTTTTTAAAAAATTGATTTTAGAGAGGGAGGGAGGGAGGGAGGGAGGGAGAGAGAGAGAGATGAGATACACCAGTCCGTTGCTTCCTATATGAACTCTGACCAGGGATCAAACCTGCAATCTAGGTATGCACCTTACCTTACCAACAAAAAGGTTAGGTCTCACTTTATTGTGATGGTCGGGAACCCCCAATATCTCTGAGGTATGTCTGTCCTCATTATTACTACGTAAGCTAGTTCACGGTTCATTTTAATTTGTAACTGTTATCTTGTGGACACCCTCTCCTACTTTTCCCTACTATATATACTACTTACCTATTCTGTACCACTCAGCTTTCCTACATTTATCTTTTTCTAATCCTTTGGCTCATTATTACTGTGGTTCTGAATCACTGATCTTTGCAAGGCACCATCTGATAAATCCTGAAGGAAGCCAAACTAGGGGATATGTTCACATCCAGGAACACAGTTCAAGACATAAGGCTTAGACTTCAAGATAAAGTAAGGTACACCAGGAGAGGTGGGAACTGTGTTCGTGAGAAGTATGGAGTAGAGGCTAAGACCAGAGAATATGAATCCTGGTTCTGCTCCCTTAGCTCTGTGGACGTAGTAAGTTCCTAAGTTTCTTCATCTGAAAAGCAGAGGTGATAACAGTATTTGCACCATAAGATTATCAATTTGAGATAACAGCATGTGTGAAGCACTTAAGAACAGTGTCTGGCACATTGTAAACACTCAGTAAATATTAACTATTGAAATATTTATAAACAGATAATCGGTTGACAGCAGGTGGGAAGGTAGAGCAAGAATTTGAAAATTTAGAGAAACAATCATTGAATGTTAGTTTCATTCCTTCTGTATTTTCTCATAAACTTCTCCCTCCTTAAGTCCTAATTCTAGACTGAAATACTTTTTTCTTCCTATAAAATTTCCCAGTCTTGGTGAGATTTTTTTTTTTTTTTAACAGCATCAGTTCAAAATATTTGAAGGCAGCAACAGTAAAGCTACCAATCATAGCCTTACAGTAGACTATTTTTGTATTTTATTATCTACAAAATAGCCATGTTTCCAGTTTGTATAACCTAAACATTTGTTATTCACTTTCCTGCTGGTATAATTGGGAGTAAGGATGGGAATAAAAAGGAAGGCAGGATTTAAAGCTTTGCCTCACCAGCATTTTAAAGACCAGTGACAAAGGTCTTTCATAGTAATAGTCTGGACGGAGAGGCATCATTCATCTGATAAAAGCTGCCACGCACTGTGTGTGTTTGCTGTTAACACTCTTTAATCCCCTCCATGATACCCAGAGACCTCAGGCTCCCTCTTAATTCCGAGCCTCTACTGCTCTTAGGGATATAAAAAACCCTGTTCAGGTTTGAAATTGCAAATTGATTGCATGTTGGCCACATCTGCCCCAGGATGGTTTCAGTTTGGCCTTCACACAAAAATCCAGCTTTAGGGTTTCTCTTAGAGAAAAAAAACAAAAACAAAAACATAGAATAAATATCTCAGAACACAAGACCCACATTCCTGAGGGCAACATTCTGCCAGCGCTGAACAGCTGCTCCCTTCAGTTACAGCGCGGACACTCCAATTTGCAACGTTACTGATCACCCCCCATTGTCTTCCACCCGACCAGGTTCACGCAGTTGTGCTTTCTCTCCCCTGCAGACCTGTGTCTGCAAACTCCAGCTAGACCTTTCCTGCCTGCCACCAGAGAGAGCTTCCTTTCTTCGGTCCCTCAGCAGTTTCCCAACCAATAGCGAGGTGACCAGGCCCGCTGTGGGTATTCCTACATGTGCTTTCTGGAGAGAGCAGCCCAACAGAAAGAGGTGACTGTGCCGGTGGGAATGACAGGAACCGCGGGACCACAATCTGGATGGCAACGGCCCACTCTACTTTTTCTGCGATCCTGACGCAGCCATACCTCACTGTTCCCAGGCAAACCAAAGGGGCTGGTTTTCTGTAGAACAATGAGCACCGGCCATCGATCACCCTAGTTCCAAAGGACCAAAAGCTACTAAGGGACAGTCTGACCCCCGTTTCCTCGGAGGCTGCAGGATATGCGGCCTGAAAGCATCTCCCCTCACCTGATTTCGGGGCCCGTTCAGTGAGCGCCGGGCAGCAGGGCCCTAGGAGCGCGCGCGTGCAGCATGAGCTCATTCTCAGGGGCGTTCCAGGAGGCCCGCCCGGCCGCGCGCGCCCGGCCTCGGTTTTATCAATGGCCACCGCGGCGGGCGGGGCGGGGCCGGGCGGGGCCGGGCGGGGCCGGCCGGGGCGCGGCCGCCCAGGGGCGCTGCTGCCTTTCTGAAAGCTTTGTTCCCACTTTAGTGTCCGAGAACTCGCTCTCGGCCGGGGAGGCATCTAGCACCGATCTGGACGTTCCGGGAAGACACTGGCACTCGGGACGCACTATCCCGGGCGGAGGGAAGTCTTGGGCGCGCAGAATTAGCCGCGCCCTGCCGGCAGCCTCAGTGAGTGGGGAGAGGCCCCAAACCCTCTGCTCGCCTGAGCGCTCCGAGCCCAGCCCCGCCGACCGCAGCAGTTCCGGACCGGCAGTGCGGAGAGCCCGCGCTCCCTATTTGCGGTTCCCATATGGTGTGGGAGCAGCCGCCGGCCAGCCCGTCACACCGTCCGCCGCAGCCGCAGGCGAGCCCGTCACACAGTCCGCCGCGGCCCCCGTCGAGATGCTCCGGACTCCGGGGACCGCCGCCGGAGGCTGAGGGCCAATCACACTGCAGCTAGGTCTTACGATTGGACGGCAGTGAGTGCCGATTGGCTACCGCTAGCGGTGTCGGCCTCCCTCCCTTTCCCTTTTGCCCCAACTCCAGCTCCAAAGCTTCCAGCCAATGAGAAGGCACTTTATAGACGCCCTCCCATTGCTTTCTTCTTTGCCCCACCTTGGCGAGGGAGGCGGCGTTCTGACTGGCCAGACTGTCCTCGGAAGCCCCCTTCCGTTCACCAATCAGCGAGGGAGGCACACTCCCAGCGGAGTTTTTTGGCCAATTACAAGGCGGCCACGGGCCCAGCCGTGCTGTTTCACCCAGAACCCCGGGTTTCACCGTTCTTAACTCTTCAAGCGTTTTTTTCTTGAGGGCCGGCGGACTCTGATTGGCCACTGTGGCCATCATCGAATTTCTCCTCCGAACAAGGCGAACCCACCTTCTTCTCGTTCGGGTATCTTCGGAATTTTTCGCCCGCTGGGCGTGGATTTCCAGCGACAGATTCTAATTGGTTCCTTAGGTCTATCGGCTTTTTCCGGCAGAAGCAGCCAACAAACGACGTCCGTGATTGGCTCTGTTCGGGCTTCGGCTCCGCGACCGAAGCGGGCGGGCGCGGGGCTCGGCCGGCGATTCCCAGACGCCGGCTACGCGGGCGTCGGGGCGCTGGGCGGTGTAAGACTGGGTGGGGGAGGAAGGAGGCGGAGGCCGAGGTGGAGGGGGGAGGGGTAGCGGGGAAGAGCTAGGCGGCTGCGCAGACGGCGCTCCTCACACAGAGCAGCCCCTGACCCGGGCGAATGCGGGCTTGTGTTGCCGCCGCCGCTGCCGCCGCCGTCCGGGCCGAGTGACAAAGGAAGGAAGGCAGGAAGGAAGGAAGCAAGGAGGAGCCGGTCCCACAGCCGCTGACAGGGCTCCGGACTGGGGGAAAGCGCGGACACTTCCTGAGCAGGCACAGAGCAGAGGCGAGGGGCGGGAGGGCGGCCGCGCTGGTGCCGTGGACGGGGGAGGGGGCCCCCCGAGGGACGGAAGCGGTTGCTGGGGTTCCCATGTCCCCCGGCGTATGGGGAGCAGTCGAGGGAGCCCGCTGCCTGGGATCTGAAGGGGAGCTGCCTTCCGCCGCCCGCCGCCGCCATGGCCGCTTGGATTCCAGCCGCCGCCCGCAGCTGCTCCCTGGCGCCAATGAGGGAGAGGGAGCCCGCCGACACCGCCCGCCCTCTGACTGACTCGCGACTCCCGCCGCCCCTCCAGGTCGCCGGGCCCCCGCCGCCAGCCCGCCGGATCCCGGGGCTGGCCCGAGCCGGCAGCGTTTCCCGTCGCATCTTC